CAAGATAAAAAGAACATGTAAATTGAAGCTATTTATACATATTATTATCAAATTGGCCCATTTCCTTTTGCTTTAGAGTGTTATTGAAATTAAGGAATAATGATAAATAAAATAATTTCAACATTCAAAAAATCAATATTTTTACATAAAACATAAATTATTTAAATTTTGGGGCACAAATTTAATCTAGATTAGCATCAGTTATCAAATAACTTTGCTAGATAAAGAAAATGAATGTAAAAGATTTCTGCTGCTGGGCACATTGGCTCATGCCTTTGATCCTTTAATCCCAGCACTGAGGAAGCAGAAACAGGAGGGTCTCTGTGAGTTCAAGGCCAGCCTGGTCTACATAGTGAGTTCCAAGCCAGTTGGGGCTACAGGGAGACTCTGCCTCAAAAAAGACCAAAAAATAAAAATAAAATAAAATAAATAAAAGTTTTCTTCCATGAACTTTTTCATCACCTTGATAGATGCCAGGCAAGCTGGGGCTATAGGGAGACCCTGACTCATAAAAACAAGCAAATAAGTAAAAATTCATCTCTTTCTTTAGGCACTTAGCTACCTACTTATGTTTCTGTTTGGGTAAACTATAGACAATAAAATAATCAGGATGGCAAGGTGGAGCATTTAATGTGTTCTTCCCTCTTTTAATTTGGTCAATTCAATTTCTATTAATATGTACAAATTATCAATCAAATGGACTAATTAAATATCAAAACATTAAAATTTTTCATCAAGAATGCCTTTCCTTAGTATAAATTCAGGTGTTTAAAATGTGTAGGATGGTGGTTTGCCTCAAATGCTATCACCTAGACTACTGAATAATGGAGCGCCTGTGCCAAGAAGAATGGCAAACATGCTTCTCTTCAACAGACCCTTTTATAACGTTATAGTTATTAAAAGCACATTTTAAGTGTACATGTGGAAGTAAGGCTGAAAAAAAATTGTCTGAGGCAAGTATCAAAAATATCTGGAATGCAGTAACCCCACAACTTTCAGTGACCTAATAGCAGCTCAACATTTTCATGTCTAATCGTCTTCCAGCTTATGCATTTTGTGTCTCTTCCATCAATAACCAGTTGTATCTTTATTTCCTGTCATTTGCTGTCTCTGTTTGCTTTACTTCTGTTGTTCATAGCTTCATGTAATTTTTAGTCCACGTTCTCCTCCAGAGTATTTGACTCCTAAGATCAAAACTGACTGGTTTAGTAATTAAAGTCACTGCATGGAACACATGCATACTGTCTCATTTGAAACCACCTTGTTGGTGGTGGATAAAACCCAGCTGTGGTGGCTAATGTCAATTTGACACACCTGGGAAGAGGGACCCTCAAGTGAGAATTTTCTGCCACTAGACTGACCTATGGGCAAGTTTATGTGGCATTGTCTTGACTGCTAAATAATTGAGGAGGGCCCAGTGCAATGTGGGCAGTGCCACTAGTGTGCAGGTAGGCCTAAGTAGCATAACAAAGGTAGCTGAGCAGAAACAGAGGAAGCAAACTAGTAAGCAGTGTTCTCCATGGTCTCTGTTTCAGTCCCTGCCTCCAGTTTCTAATGCCTCAAGTTATTGCCTTGGCATTCATTGATGATGGACTATGAGCTCTAAGCCAAATAAATCCTTGCCCCAAGTTGCTCGGTCTTTTATGACAGCAACAGAAGAGAAGAATAGGTCACCTGCATATAGAAAACTGTCTTTGGTTTAGACAGTACTCTAAGGTCCAATCCCAGGTTGACTGGGAAACAAAGTATGTACTGTATTCTCTGGTGAAGCAGAGTACTTCCTTATACATAATCATATTCTTTTAAGACCAGTTGAGTAACAGGAAGCGTGACATAGTTGTCACACCCAAATACAATAATTATCACCGCCTCTGTCTCAGTTTGTTTTCAATTGCTATGCTAAAACACTGACCAAAACCAACTTAGGAGGAAAGGGTTTACATTATCATACCTCTCCCAGGTCCCAGTTCATCACTGAGGGAGGTCAGGCCAGGGACTCAAGACTGGAACCTGAATATAGGAGCTGAAGCACAGACCACGGAGGAATGCTGCTTACTGGCTTGCTCCCCTGGCCCAAGATGTTTGCTTTCTTATAAAACACAGGTCTACGTGCCCAGGGATGGCACGGCCCACAGCGGGCTTGGCCCTCCCACATCACATAACAATCAAGAAACTGCACCACAGACCTGTCCACAAGGCCAATCCAATAGGACCAATTCCCCAATTGAGGATCCCTCTACCCAGGTGGGTCAAGTTGACTACTAAAGATGTCCAGCACAGCCTCAAAGTCATATATGCACTTGATTTACTTTCTGTCTTATATGTACTTAAGTTGAATCAATATTTATATTTTATTTAATCCTTCATACCTTCAATGTTTTGCTTTATAACTTTCCCTCTGTCCTTTTTGATAGATTAATGTCTAATCTTTTGAACTGGCCTCATTCTACATGAAATCCAGTGGGTACCACATATATTGATGTTTTAATCTCAATTAATTTTTATTGTTTATACAGTATTAAAAATCTCAATTAATTTTTGTTGTTTATACAGTCATACTATCCATACTTAGTAATTAAGTATTACTTCTTTCTCCTTTTAATGACATTAGTATTCTCTGATATTGCTATGAACTTATTATCCCTCTTTCTAATTTGTATCCATCTCCTTAATTAAATCTTTCAAGTTTATGGTAAATTATCTCCCCCTCCACTTCATTGCACACTCCAATTCTTCCTTCAACCAACTGTTCTCCACACTTTCCTGTGACTCTTCTTCCTTCTGATTCTTCTCTTCCTTTTCTTTTCCTATTCTTTTCTCTTCTCCCTGTTATTCTTCCTCCTTTTTATTTTCTATTTCTTTGTCTCTTTTACTCAATCTTCTAGTTCTTTTTAACAGTTGTATGTAATTACGCACATACAACTTAATTTCTGAGTGTTCATATGGGCAAAGTGGGTATCAGAATCTTTAGTTGAGTATGTAAAGGATTAAATTATCTGGTTTTCTTAGCCTTCCGTATAGTAATCAGGAATGCTCAAAGAATGGTTCATGAATCAGGACCCTAGCCTCTGAAAGCTGACTTTACCGGAGTCACCTCCTAATATGATTTATAGACTTCAGAGGAAAACACCATATATCTCCATGTGCACAAAACTAATCTCCTTGAGATTTTTTTGTTATGAAGGATGACCTAACTTCCTTCAGAGTTCTACCTATCACAGAAAGCAATACTCAGGACTAGTAATTCTGCTGTTAATTTTTGTTAATTCAATGCAACGTATTAGATCAGTTATACACACACACACACACACACACACGCACGCACACACAAACACGCACACACACGATAAAATATAGAGAATATATACTCAAATCTAAAGATGAATATTTGCATAGATACATTGTTTCAATTTTTGTCCATATCTGACTAATAAAAAAATAAATTCTGAACAGACTAGAGAGCATGAAAATAATGTTTTAGCAACTATAGCTACATCATCTTCATTTATGACTTGAACAGTTCAAAGACTTCTTTGGAACTGCTACTTATTTTCTCTCATTTTTTAGGTCTTCATGAAAATGTTATTAATATCCTATTAGTAATCTTAGCAAAAGGAAAACAGGACAGAAAGAAAAGTTACACAAATAGAATATGATCTTACAAATAACTATTTATAGGAAAAGAAAACTTGAGGAGGCACCATTTAGTCTTTTGTTAATACAATGTCATG